TACCACTTTTTCATGCATTTAAAACAAATTATTCAATCATGCCTACTTTTCTGATGGTCATGTTCATAACCAAAAGAAAAAGCATATTGTAAAGTAAAGAAATCTTAAGCTTGTTCATTTAGTTTAATTAGTTAATGACCACAGGTCACAAGAAAAGCTTGATTTCTGTTTAGTAAAGCTACTGTTCTGAATAGTAATAAAACTTTAACTTTTTATAGCTTAACTCTCTCACTATGGGCTCAGTCTAATTGCCCTACTTTTGTGACTCCAAATTAACCTTCAGTTTCCATACTGTAACTTCAAATATGTTGTGAGTATCTTCATAAAATTTCACAAGCTTTAAATAAACATTAAAAAAACTCTTGTAGACAAAAAATCAGAATTTTTAATGAAGTATTTTTACTTAACATTGCTCAGTGAATATATAGAATCAGAGTGAACCGCTCCACATGCAAATTGATTTTCATGTTAAAATTAAAAATACTTTTCTTCATCAGAAAATTGTCAAATTTCATTTGCATAATCTATAAAACCCCATAAATAAATTTCAAAAGTTTTCTTTTTTCAGTAAAACTTAGATTCACTTGTTATTTTCTCTATCCTAACTATATACAGGGTCAGTCAAATTAACCAACATCATAACCACCATAAAAAATATGAAATCTAAATTACCCATTTTTCTTTCTAGAATGACTTTAAATTGTAACAGGAAATAAAATTTATTTTCCTAAATAGATTAATGCATGTAACAGTATACATCTGTTCCTAATTAAATTTTATTGTCCTTTGAACTAATAATCCCACCAAACAAGTTGTAAATCACTAGACAAATATGTAGCTCACATTACCCTATCAAATTACACAAAGTAAGAGCTGCTCACAAGCTGTTTGTTAGAGTACAGTGTGTAAAAAAAAAATTGTTTTGATCTTACCTAATCTAAGCTAAGTTTCTAATTTTCACATTTTACTTACTTTTATTATAATAAATAAAGAATACACATGAAGAAACAAGAAATATAGTGTTTACCCAGGTCTTTTTTTTTTGCTGTTGACTGTCAATGAAACTTAACCCTACTTTTTAATATTAATGGTAATATAACACTAAATATTTTTTTATTTAATTAAATAATGCACCAAAGAACACAGAATAAAAGCACATAAAAAGTAGATAGTCTTATAAATATCATAATTTTTCTGGCTTTCTAACTTTGAAATAAGTGCCTTTAAAAATTCAGCTAATCTCATCAATGTGTTCCCATGGGAATAAAGTTTGAACTGGAAGCAAAATAGACAATTCTCTGTAGAGAAAATAATGTAATATAATACATTATTTGATAGGTTAAAACTTTATTATTCTATTAGTTACAAACAATATACTATTAAACATCAGAGAAGAAGAGACAGATGAGTGCAGCAAGTGTGTCTTATTTTCTAGTTTATGGCTCCCTAAACAAATACGATTGAAAGATATAAAAATTATGCTTTGCTGAGTAATAAGTATGTTATATTAAATAATTTACGTTTAATTCCGTACTTCTCGGAGGGGTGGTAAATAAATGAAAGAGAGAAGGCCTTGAAAGCAAATATCACAATTCTCATACTAGGGGAGACAATGGATTTTTTTAAGTATTTCTTATAATTAAGAATTTAAAACATATATATTATTAAAGTTTAATTTACCAACTATGTTTTGATGCCTAATTTATTTGTATATCATGGTAATAAATTGTCAAGTTAAATTTTGAATGTCTCTCTCTAAAATGACATGTGCACTTTAACCTGCCAGTGGAAAGAGAGTTAATGTGGATAGAGAAAGATCTATGGAACAAGAAACGTCATAAGGTATAACCAACCAATGTCAATTCCTTATAAATATTCTGTTCTTGCAATTCAATAACATCCAAATAAACTTGGTAGATATTTGAATGTTAGTTATCCTTTCAACTTGGTCGATAAGCAGACGTTTCCTACAGAGCCTATTCAAATTCTGGCTCTGAGAACACAGTGGAGTAGGATTTATTGAAATTTATTGTCAACAAGTCACGGACATCTACTGTAAAGAATCTGGCCCAAAAATAAAACCTGACACCACCAAAGTGGAATTGTCTGTGAGTACTAGAACACAAAAGGCAGGAATTCTTTACATTTGTGTTGTACAGCCCAAATCTCCAAAAAAATGATACACGAATGGGATATCTCAACACATAACCCCTGCCCTGGAGAAAATATCCACACACGAGGTGGAAGAAAAGGAAAACCTACAACAGAAAACTCACAATTGAGCCACACTTTAAGGGAATCAAGTGTAGTAGAGAACTTCCAATAGACAACAGATCTGAGAACAGACTCCACAATGGGGCAAGGTCCCACTGACAGTAACTCAAGTAAGTATAACCCATAGGAACTGCCATGTAAAGTGAAGCCATCATTTCTAAATCAGAGAGGTTGTTTGGCAAATAGAGAAGTATGTGCACCCAAAACTCTAGGGAATGCAAAGCCAAAAGAAACAGGTGAAGAGTTATTGAAAGTGTTAATACAAAATCTCAAATGAATGTGATATTCAGTATGCACAAGCTGAGACTTGGATTTGTGAACAATCCACCCCTGAGAAGAAGTTAACTGGGAGGTTAATTCAGTATGCAACCACTGAGTGAGAATCCTCTAATCATTCATGTGATGATGACAATATTGTGTGTGTATCAATTAATGATTTAACTACACACTGGAAGACACAGGGAGCCAAAGCCAGACCAAAATTGTGGGCTATAACCTGATAAACCATTCCACAGTGTTAAAAATAAAGATATCAAGGAGAAGATTAGTGAATTAGGATGTATAAGTAAGCATTCCTAAAATCTTCATTTGTCATCCAAAAACTTTGACAAAGAAACTTTAATAAGATTGTCATAGGTTCTACATAGAAAGCAGGAATATCTAGATAAGAAAAGAGATGGAAAGCATCTATAAAGTCTCCAATCTCCTATTGTCTTTTGCACTAAAAAGAGATTAGAGTAAAAATCCCAAGGAAACACGAAGTACTACAACAATATCACCTTACTTTTGAAAAAATTTGAAACTTCAAGATCCAAAATTGAATAAAAACTGAAAGAGTCAAAAGTGGATGATGAACAGAAAATATAATAGAAGAATCTGATGAACCCAAGGATTCACAGCTATACAAAAATCTGAGATGGCCTATAAAAGTCTGGATGTAGGAATTATCCAGACTAGAGACTCAATGAACGAGTTGTAAAGACCCAGTTGAATTATATCAATGCCGGTCCACATGAAAAGTATGAGTACATGTAATGGAAAGTGAAAAACATTATACGCAGAACCTCTGGAAGGGAGTGACAATTAAAAGCAAAATAGGATGCTAAAACCCTCATCAGTTCCAGCTGGCAAGCTTTCTCTGAACAAGAAATAAGTTAAAGTGAAATACCTGCAAAAAATAAAATAAAAGCAGTAATTTGTTTTTTCAAATATATATATATATATATATATATAAACAAAATAGTAAAAATATGTTGTATCCAAGTGGTTTGGGATAGACAAAAGTTATTGCTTAAAGTAGTCATAATTATGATTCCTTTATCTATTGTGGAAATTTTAATAGTGCAAATAAATACTGCATCATATTAGTATTATATTGTTGATTTAAGAGAAAAAAATACCTGTACCTGTTAACATGGATTTTTCAGTGCTTTCAACTCTGGGTACATGTCTCAGGATATCTTCTTTAATCCTTTTTGTGACAAAGAACTTTTTGCAGCAAGCCCTCAACCAACATGCTCTACACCTTGACTCTAGAGCACGAAGTTTGCACTGGACACTTACTTTGACTCCAACAGGTAACTGAGAGCGGGGAAGAATTGGACAGCAACCTAAAAAAAGTGTAACAAAAATTTATAGAAACTTAACTTTTATAAGTTTGGGCAATTCTTTAACTGTGCTATAAAATCATAACTTGCCTTTTTCCTGGGAGAAAACACACACAGATTTCTTCAGTGGTGCTTTCAAAGTATCCTTGAAAACACAAATCTTTGAACAACATTTGAAGGAGAAAAATTCAATCTTCATAGAATCAGCAATCCTAATTAAAATATTTCCCACTGTTTCATTTGTTACTATTTTAACTATTTTTCAGTTCTGGAACATTGAAAATTTGTTCAAATGGACAACCTGGCTGATAAATTGGTGATTAGACAATGCTTCAATTTATTTCTGTGCATCTTTATTAGTCCTGATGAAGATATATGGCAGAGAATTAAATATTTCTCTAATTATCAATTCACCAAGAACACTGTCAATTTCAATAGCAACTTTCAACATTACAACCTATACTGAAAATATATTTTTGGTGGGTACTTACCTTCTCACACATAAATGGCTATATTCATTTAGTGCTGCCCTCTATATGCAAATTTGTTTTTTACGCCTGCCACAAGCTTTTTATCTCCCGTCCATTGGAATTGACTGATTCCAATGTGTGTCTCATGCAAATTATCATACATTAACCCTTCACCAACAAGTGTGCGACATACTCTCATGACGCATGTGACTCCCTCTATTCAATTCTACCAAACTATTACTTCGAGTTTTGGCAGAAAATGGAAGCACCGGTTTTTAGTGGGAAGGAAGGGTGCGAAGTGTGAAAAGAGGTAAGTACCTATCAGAAATACATTTTCAGTATAGGTTGTAATGTTGAAAGTTGCTATTGAAATTGACAGTGTTCTTGGTGAATTGATAATTAGAGAAATATTTAATTCT